CCTAGACGGACCTGAATGTAAGCTATAGCACAAACAGCCAGTCAGCCGGCATGCATTTCAGTCTATCCGTAGGAGAAGAGTTTATCTGCAGCCCCTGAAGGGGAATTTGAGAGACAGTCTTTTTTTGTTGTACTTAGTGGTTCTCTGCTATTCACATCACAGTAAGCTTAGGCAGGAAAGTGTGGGTTTACATTAGGGCTAAAGACTGATCCCCGACTAATGCTGAAATTAGCCTTCGAAAACTGGGTTTAGTGCAAGAGGCAAATAAATTTAAAAAAAAATAGATCTTTTAAACTGGAGTGTGATTCTAGAATGTTCCAGTAACAGGAGTATGAGATATATGTCTCACGGAAGAGGATAGAAGAGTCGTGTGCCAGAACAATAAGACTTTGATCTCAGTCCAAAAAAAAAAAAAAAAAGACACTAAAAATCCAGTGAATTTGTATATTTCACCCAGCACTTCCTTGGCCAGTGTTTGAAGTGATCTGCAAGGCAATCCTGAAAGTGGGTGCTGTCATTTTCAATGGATAAAGCCGACTTAGAAGGTCAAGACGTCTCAGAGCCTTTGATTAATAATTGGTGGAGTCTGGGCTCAAATCAATCTATTCTGTACACCAAGTCACTTATTGGGGAGGGGGAGAGAGAGGGAGAGAGGGAGAGAGAGAGAGAGAGAGAGAGAGAGAGAGAGAGAGAGAGAGAGAGAGAGAGAGAGAGAGAGAGAGACTTTAAAAAAAACACCCAATAAAACAAAACTTGATAGAAGTAAGGATTCCAAGATGAGTTAGCTAGGGAGCAATGGTGTTCCCAGCCAGGCACGCCTGCTTCATGCAATCCCAACACTTGGGAAATGGAGGCTGGAAGATGAGGACATCAAGATGATTCCGTGAGTATAAGTGAGACCCTGAGTGTCATTGTAGGAACACACGTGAAAGTGCCACATGCGGTGATGAGCATCTGTAGTCCCCACACACCTGTGATAAAACAGAGGCAGAGACAGGGGAAGCAGGCAGAAGCTCCTGGGCTAGCCTGGAGTACACAGTGAAACCAAAGAGAGACCTTGCCTCAAAAAACAAGCTGGAAAGCCGGAGTGGTGGCACATCCCTTTAATCCTGTTCAGAGGCCTTGCTGGTCAGAAGTTGAGGTCTATCATGGGCTGGCAGCTCTCTTCAAGCTCAGCAACATGAGGGACTCCCTCCCCAGAGAGACTTCCTGCTTTTTACCTGTCCTTATCTGGAGAGTGTTTCTAGGCCTCGAGAACTGACCTTATCTGAAAGCTGTCTCTAAACCTGGATACCTGATTTATCTCTAGCATGACCCTTGGCATAGTTCCCTGCTAAAAGCTTTCTTCCTGTTCCCCGGATGGTAACTAAGACTTGTAGTAGGAGCTTTGGTATAGGACCCTCCTGCCACATACAAAGCCTTATGATAGGAGGGTGCTGTTTAACGTAAACTAGCTGATGCCCCTGCCACTGTCCCCAGCCTTTATATTCCCTTTTCTTTCTGGAATAAAGTTGAGCTGTCTTACTGAAGTCATCTCCTGGAGGGCTATCTCCATGGTATCCACAGCCATCCAAACCCTGTCCCCCACTCTGCTCTCTTCACCCATGTGGACCGGTGGACCAGTGGCCCACGATCCCAAGGAAGAAACAGAACAACGTAATTTCAGCACTCAGAAGGCCAAGACAAGCAAATCCCTGAGTTTGAAGCCAACCTAGTCTACACATTGAGTTCCAGTTCAGCCAGGACTACACAAAGAAGTTCTGTCTCAAAAAGCAAAACAAACAAAGCTAAGCATTGTGGAATAAGAGAACCAAGTCTGGGAAGCTGCCCTCCGACTTCCACATGCACACAGGGACTCATGTGCACCCCTACTCACACATGCATACACAGACACATGCATAATGTAATATCCTACATTTTTAAAGAGTTCAGCGTCACCCTGTGCTATGTGGAGTGTTCAAGGCCAGACCTGGTCTCAACAACAACAACAAAATATTCTGTTTATCTAAAAAACACGTCTCCCCTTATCACTCCTCTTTGGTTTTAGATTTCCCTTCTCTGGTGGGGGTTGTAGGAGAAGGTCACCTCCCATTCTAGAAAGAAAGGAAGCCCTCTCTCCCTTTTGACTGCTGTCTTGCTCCCATCCTGCACTTCTGCAAGTTCCTTGGCCAAACCTTAGCCGTAGCTGACGTGGACTGTGGCTAAAAGCAAACCATGGCTTTAATGACCTGAGCTCTCCAAGGCTGGTGTGCACATTTCAGTTTCCTGGTTTTAAGAGGCAGTGAGCACAAGTCAGTTGCTGTAACTGACCAGAAGGCTGGAGCCCAAGCAGGCTTGAGCCTCCCACTGAGTAGCTGTCTCGAGACAAACCTCTTGCTCTGCCCCAGTAGGTCACCGTCACTTGTCTTCCTGTAATTTACTAAGTTTTGTTCTGTTGGAGTGTGTTTGCCCTCCACTGGTTTAGAAGACACATTCATACTTTCCAGAGAAATATTGAAGTGACTTGTTAAAGGTATGTGGTTGTTTGGTTTTTGTTTTGAGGGGACAGGGTCTTGCTAGATACGTATATATGTAGTCCAGGTTGATCTTAAGCACATGGAGACCCTCCCACCTCACGTTCCCAAGTGCTGGCATTATAGGCATGTCCCATGTCCTGAGTGCTGTCAACAGTGCTTGGAGAGTACAATTTTGGGAACTCGAAATGTGATAAAACACAAGTTAGTGCATGTTTATTGCTCACTGTCTGCCATTTGGCCTTGGCGATCCCGTTTTATGTAATGCTGTCATTGATATTCTTGATTTAAATTCCTTTCTAACTTTGATCTTGAAGGCAGCATGTTTTCAGAGTGTGTTCTGCTCTGTCTTCTTCTAACAGTGCTCGTCCCCATGATTTCTGATGGCAGCTCATTATGCATCTGCTTACCTATTTTATCGAACGCATCGATCATCATCTAGCTCTCCAAACATGACCTGCTCGATCTGGACGGCGCCCAAATGTATCCCCGAAGTGTTCTTTAGCCCCCAGAGAGTTTCCCTTGTCGTGCGACATCAGTTTGGGTGCAGGGGATTTTCTACTCTAAGAGAGACTCTGGTTGTCATTCTCCAAGCCTCTTGGCCACTTCCAGAAGCTTTCTGCTGCCTCTCCACTTCACTCAGATTTGAGAGAGTTAATTATTTAATATGTTTGCAAAGCACATTGGGTTCCCTGGAGAAAGTGTGCCACATAAATATATATAAATGAATAATTAATTAAAGTTTAAGCAGATTACTTGGTTCTTCCTTAACTGCCCCATTTTCCTAATGAGGTGTTTGAAGTTACACTCTTGTCTCGGCTCTCCTTCCTCTCTCTTCCGGCATCATCATCATCCTCTTCCTGTCCTTGCATTTCCATCTGTTTAACCCTTCATCCCTGGGTCAGTTCCATCGGTCCCTACCCTACTTTGAGCACTGTCAATCACAGTGACTCAGTCCCAGATCTATAGGTAAAAGCCTTCATTAACTTCTATGGGCATCATAAGCTCGGAAGAGCTCTAGGGTGAGATTAATAATTAGGTAATGATTTTAACACGCTGTGCAAATGAGAAGCCAGGCTCAGGAAATGCTGAACACATAGTGGTTATGGATATCCCAAGAAACTCTGATTTTCCCACCCCATCTCCCTGACACAAGAGATTCCACCTAGTCTAAAAATGATTACCAACCCAGTCAAGTCTCTCCAGAACCTCAATGGTCTCTTATCAGGCAGAAGCTATGGGGAGGGGGAGCAGGGGGAGGGCTTGCAATCTCAGAGAGTGTTAGAGATCTGGTGTATTCTCCTGGAGTGCCCTGCCCTGACTTATCTGGAGTCTGAAGGAGCAGAGACGTAACTACTCATTGAATGACGATGTCCAGTCCCGAATTATTCCTTTAAGATGAAGAGGAAGAAGAACAGTTCACGTCCATCTTGCTAAACCTGACCTAGTTTATTTACACTCTAATCTTACTTCAGAGCATGAGAGGTAAAAGGAGATGCTCTTATCAATTAATAGCTGAAGAGAATTTAGATTTCAAGTTCAATTAAAGAGCTATTTATTCCAAAGCAGCAGAAAAAGTGAAGAGGGGCTCCCGGTAGGCTGGGGTGGGGGTAGGGGCGGAAGTGATGCAGAGAATTTTTTTTCTTTCCCTCTTAAGAGTTGGACTGACTGTGAAATCTTGGATTTTCTGGTGACCTGTGTTAAGGCCCTGGAGCGAAAGCAGACCTATAATGGATCTATTTCTGAATTGTTCAGCAGTATTGGAGTTTCAAACAGCAGTAGTGGTACATGCATATAATGAGGCCAGCGACTCCTTCTGCATCTGGGAGGGCATCGGTCGCAGCTTTTGTGGCCTCTAGAAGCACGTAGGAGAGGGAGATCTTCCTTGGCCCACTTCCAGAATTCTCTAAGGAGCCAGTCCTGTATTGAACCAACACGGGAACTTCTTTAGGACTCTGAGACAAAGGGTGAGTGAAAGACCCCCGTGCTGAATGTCTCTTCTACTGAGGTCACAGCTCTCTGTGAAGGCGTTGCTCTCCATTCTAAGACCCCAGGCTAGGGAGGACATGACTTTGACCAGTCACACATAACTGAGTATTTATTTGTGTTGCGTTTACTAGTAGCATGAATAAGCAGGGAGAGACGTTCAAGCCCACTGCCACCCTTTTGCTGGGAGCAGTACCCCTTCAACCTCAGTTTACAGGCCTGCAAAACCAGGGGGCTGGCTTGGCCCTCCAAAGTAGCTTCAAATCAGAAACTGACAAAAATCAGACATTGGTGATGGGCAGGGGTGTGTGGGTGTGAAGACATTGGACACTGGGGAGCCCAAGGCACACAATGGAATAAGTTCAGAAAGTCACTAGCTGGCTCGGGAACTTTGGCTTGCTTTGTATTATTTATAGCCTTGGGTTTGGGTTCCAGAGTTTAACACCAAGTCTGGTGCATAGTAAGTATCCAATAATACTGGATTATAAACTGGGACATTAACACCGAACTTAACTACGTATTACTTTTGTAGATTTTCTAAAGCAAAATATCATACGCTCGAACAATAGAAATTTGGGGCTGGGATACAGCTCAGTTGGTAAAGCACTTGCATAGCATTGTGAGTCTTGGGTTTAGGTTTTTTTGTTTGTTTGTTTGTTTGTTTTTCCTCTTTTGAGACAGGGTTTCTTTATGTAACAGTCCCAGCTGCCGTGGAACTCGCTTTGTAGACCAGGCTGGCCTTGAACTCACAGAGATTTGCCTGCCTTGAGTCTTGGGTTCAACCCCCAGCACTGCATAAACTAATAGGTGTGATGGAATACGCAGGGAACCTCAGCACTTAAGAAGGTCAAGAGTTCAAGGTCATTCTCAGCTATATATAGAGTTAGAGGCCAACTTTGGGTACAGGAGACCCTGTCTCAAAAATAAAACCACAGTAATGCATATCCTTACAATTCAGGAAGATGAAAATCCTACCCCAAGGCCCTAGTAAATCTGTGTGCAGATGTGCTCCCTCCCAGACCTCCAGAGGGGACCCTTCCTTACCTCTGCAGGATCTGGCTCCAGGCATTCCCTGCCTTATGGCCTCACGACTCTGACCTCACTCTCACCTTCCCATGGTTGTCCCCTCCATGTCTGATTGTCACTCCCCTGTGCACACCTATGGCCAAGTGTCCCTCCTCCTATCAGGCCCCCAGTCACTGAGTCAGGGCCCACCCTGTGACCTCACTTGACCTTGACCCTATCCACATAGCCCGTTTCCACACACAGCCACACCCACAGGTGTGATGGGGAGCTGAAAAACCACATGTCTTCTTAAGCCCTGTAATTCAACCACAGGTTTACTTCACCGACTCGATGAAAAATGAGTCAATACACAGATGTAACTGTCTTGAGATGGAGAAGATGTTTATGCAAATTCAGGGCCAGGAACTCTGAGCCTGGGGCTTTCTCCCACCAAGTTTCAGCAGAAGGAAGGCCCCTGAAGTCCACCTCAGGGGAGTGAAAGCCAGGGAGGTGATTGAGTTGAGAAGGCGAGGCTGAGGCACAGAAGACAACTCTGTTATCTTCTGAGAGTCACAATAGGGTTCCCCGGGGGAAAGAGTGACCATCTGGGCATCTAAGATGAGACAACGGGCAAGGTGTGCTCATTGCCAGAGCCTCGGTGGGGAGAATCCACGTTCTCTGCTCTCTTAAACTCCATGCTGTTAGCCTCTCTGACCTCAAAGGTTACTTCATGAAGAACAGCTTTAAGAAGTGCCAGGAACTTCTCCAGGCACCATCAGCATACAGGGCGGACCCAAGGACACCAGCAGGGTTGCATTTCTCTCCTTTCTCCTTTTTGGGGTTAATGCCAGAAAGAGGTGGCATCCTAGTTGATTACAAAGCTCAGGTCTAAATTTCAATTTGGGGCTGAACAGTCGTTTCTCCTCAAGGTTTGAATAAATCATCCAATCTGCTTCGGTTTCCACTATTTTCAGCATTTCTATTTTCGTCATTAATTCTGCCTGCTTAGGACCCTGAAGTCACTGAGCCCGTTTGTGGCTTAATTTGGGATGAGTCTGAAGCGGGAGGCATAAGAAACGCTGGAAGTCTAACAAGAGGGGAAAAAGGCTTGAGCTGATCTGCCGGATTCACCCAGACATGGGGACAGCTCCTCTTTTGCGATGATGGTGACTCTTTTGGTTTGCCCCAGTGGGACAGGTTACAGAATCTGCAAGAGTGGGCTGTGTGTAATTCTGGTAAACATAGCAGAGTCCGTGTAACGGAAGTGGTTTTAAATTTCATTTTGCTTTGACTACAAAGAAATGGATTGGCTCTATATTCATGTAGGTTACAGTACAAGATAATAGATGCAGGCAATCCATTCTGCTCCTCTTTTTGCTTTGCCCGCTAGGAAGCTCTGAACTCAATACATCTCAGCTAAAAATACCAATATTAGCCCAGGATTCTGTTTCATTTATCTTTTGCATAGAACAAACTGCCTCCAAAATGAGTGGCTCAAAGCAACAATTTATTTTTCTCTTTAGTGGTTCCACAGATTGACAAGACTTTGCTAAGTGGTTTGCCTGGGGACTCTTGGGTATTGGAGATGGTGTGCTCATTCACCCACCAGCACCTGAGCTGGTAGAGCTAGGCCGACTGGAGACTGGCTGCACATCGCTCTTTCCCTCCATGTGGCTAGCTTGGGTCTTCTCACTGAGGGGGGTTAGTCCCAGCAGCCCCCGTACAGTAGCTGGCATCTCCAAGAGGTCAGGTCTTCCCACAGCATCATAACAGTGCTATGGTTCATGGATGGGATCATCTTTGGAGATCAGTGGCTTTTATACATCTTTGTCGATTTTGCAGGATCTTGGGAATCATGCCTCTTTCTCTATGAGCCGCCAGGGGAAGTTGGTGAGCACACACAAGCAATGCTTTCCTCTTGTCCACGGCCTGTCCATGTGCTGTGTGCTATATGTATCCACGGAGCTACCTCACCTGCCTTCCCAGTACCATGTAAGTGGGCAAACCAGCCACTTTGTTCCCAGTTTTAGAGACAGAGGTTCAATAATGATTAGGGCCTAACCGAGGTAACTCAGGCAGGCAGTGGTCAGCTGGGCCTTGGAAAGGTGTGTCTACCGTGGCAACCTATGGTCCTCAGCAGCTGGTGACGCAGGGACAGAGATCTGAGTCTGAAATCCAGGTGGGAACCTCTCATTCTGAGCAGAGCCTGGCTGCCTCTTCATGAGTCCTTCTCGGCACGAGTCTGACACACTGGTGAGGAGCCCCATGCTTTGAGTGAAACCGGGGTGCAGCTGGGTGGTGGAATGCTTGCTGAGCACACACGGCCCCCTGAGCTCAACCCCCAGGACCACAGTGATGTTACGAACTAAGTGCCAGAGTTCACACTAGCTATGGCGCCTTTCAGCAGCGGGCCTGGGACTTCGAGGAACCTTAATTTCCTCATCTGTAACCTAAGATTGATGATTATGACGGGGCCCCGCTTTCAGGGGCTTGCCGTGTGGATTCGGTGAATGAGTATAGCAAAGGGATGTGTGATAAGAACCGGGAAGACTTGCCTCAGTGGGAAGAAGTAGAGAAAGCAGCTGCTGAGAGGACCCGGGTCCTTGCTGCACCTTCTCCGATTTTCCTGATTGGATGCGGAGCTTATTAGCCAGTGTCTATCTAGCTGCTGCTGCTGCTGTTTTTTTTTTTTTTTTTTTCCGGCTTGATACAGAACATTCCCAATAAGCCAGAAGCCCCAAATCCATGCTAATGGCTGCTGGAGGACTGCAGGGTCAGTTACGAAACACAGCCATGACTTGTAGGCACAGCCTGCCTTCCCAGGGCCTCTCATGTACACTCCATCTCTTCTTGATGATTTCACTGTTACTTTCTCCCCTAGGTGCAGATCACTTTCCCTTTCACTCTGTCCTAACAACACCTGTGTGTTCCTGCTCAATCTTTCTCCCCTGCACTCCTTCCCCCCCCCCCATACACGTGCTTTCAACTCATTCACCCAAAGATACCCCTACATCTACAGACACAGGCCCTTGGCTTCCTGTATCCTGGGTACCTTCCCCAGACGCCGATGTTTCTGTGCTCTCTCTGAGCTTGCAGTCCCCACCCCCCATCTTATTCCAAGTGCCTATGAGGATGGCTGAAGAATCTGAAGGCATGCTTGCCAGGGTAGGAAACACAATAATGCTCTGGACACCTGCATCCACCTGCCTAGGGATATTCAGTCCACAAAACTCTTTGGTGCTGCAAGAAGGCCAAAGATGGGAAGGCCCACCCATACTCTGCCCAAACCACCATTGTGCAGCCCAAAGAACTGCTGTTGTGAGCTGCTGTTGACAGCACAGGTACTCCTGACCCAGGAAAGGCTTGGCTAAAGGGAGCTGCCTGTTTCCCCAGCTCAGGGTAAGGGAAGAATTGAGCTGAACATGCACCTATGCAGAAGGGCAAAGAGCCAAAAATAACTAGGAGCAACGACATTTCATTTGACAGGCCCAGAAATAGAGCTCATTCCGGAGCACACCAGAGCTCCAGCCAGAATGATTCCGAGACCTTCAGCAACCCCTAGAAACAACCAGGACACCAGCGTTCCTGTCCCTCCCCAGTGCGCTTCTCGGAGCCAGGCTCTGTGGTCTCAGGAAGTATTGGCTGGTCATAGCCCAGGGTTCAGAAGATAGTGCTAAGGATGAGGAGATAAGAATGGGATCTAGTGGGGTGGTTTAAGGACAGAACAAGAGGGGCGTGGTAAGAAGCAGGGGACCCGAAACAAGGAATGTAAGTGAGACTCTAGGAAGCACCAGAGAATGGAAACACCGAGTATGAAAAGAGGCCTGCAGGGCACAGCTGGACCCCGAAGGACCGCGGCAGAGAGGAAAGACCAGGGTTTTCCTCCTGGGATGGAAGCCCTGGCTGATGGCAAGCTTCTCTCCCATTTTGATGGAAAAGACAAACGGTGTGGTTCATTCACCACCCTTTGAATAACTGAAACTGCAGAAAAGAGAAGAGGGCCTGCGTGTGGAAACAGATTGGGAGATAATATGATCGTAAGCAGAGAAGAGGCAGGGAGGGGAGGAGAGTGGGGAGAAAAGGCAAGCCAACATGAGAAGGATTCATGAATGGTCTGCACTTCAGGCGTGTGGCAGGCAGACAACGGTGCCCAGGAAACGGCATGTCATTTCCAAGACCTTGTTTTATGTAGGTGCGTAAGTTACCAGTCAAGCACAATCGTGGGCAGAAGTGGCCAATGGACGCGAGAGAACTGACCAACTGTGCTTTGAACTGGGAGGGAGAAAGGGTGTGCTGGCTAGTTTTATGTCAACTTGACACAAGCCAGAGTCTCTGGAAAGGAGGGAGCCTCAATGGAGAAAATTATTCCATTTTCTAGATGTCCAAGATCTGGACATAACCTGTAGAGCATTTTCTTAGTGATTGATGGGGGAGGGCACAGCCCATTTAAGGTGTGGCAGCCCCTGGGCTGTTGGTCATGGGTTCTATAAGAAAGCAGGCTGAACAAGCCTTGGGGAGCAAGCCAGTAAGCAGCACCCCTTCATGGCCTCTGCATCAGCTCCTGCCTCCAGGTTCCTGGTCTATTTGAGTTCCTGTCCTGACTTCCTTTGATAACGAATAGTGATGTGGAAGTGGAAGTGAAATAAACCTTTCCTCCCCAAGTTACTTTGGTCATGGTGTTTTATCACAACAATAGTAACCCTAATTAGGACAGAAGACTTCCTAGAGTCAGTAGTCTTTGCCTGGGCCCTGGAGATTTATATAGGAGGGAATCAGGGAGAAGGGACATGCCACAGTCCATAGAGTGCCTTCCCATCTCTTAAAACCCAGGGGTCATATGTCTCTGTGGGGACAGATCTCTTTATGCTGGGTATGCTGTTTACCTGGGGAAGGTTTCCAAGTACCCATAAGGACCATGCCAGGTCAGAGGTGAGTTCCTACTGACCTATAGCAGAAGGAGACAAAGACAAGTTGTGAGTTCATCACAAGCAAATTATATTCTGTCTAAAGGTCTATCTATCTATCTGTCTATCTATCTATCTATCATCTATCATCTATCTATGGGGTGTGTGTATTTATGTGTATGGTGTGCATGTGTGTGTGTATGTGTGTATGTGTGATGTGCATGTATGCTTGCCTATGTGTGCAGGTATAGAGGCCAGGGGTCAACACATGGCATCTTTGATTGCTTCTCCATCTTCCTTCTTTTGAGATATGACCAGTCGGTCATTCACTGAACCTGGAGCATCCTGTTTTGGCTAGACTGGCTGATCAGCAAACTCCAAGGATGCTCCTGTCTCTGTTCCCCAGTGGTGGGGTCATAGGAAGGAGCTACCATGTCTGGCTTTCCTGTGGGTGCTGGGGTTCCAGACAGAGGTCCTCATGTTCACTCACCAAGCTGGAGCCATCTCCCACTCCAGGACTGTCTGTGGTGGACTGAGATGATCTGTTACTATAATGTTGGATCCTCCCTAATTAAAACAAAAGTTTGACTTCATTTATCTATGTATTGGGGTAGGGCATGTGCCATAATATGTGTGTAGAGGTCAGAGGACATTTGGGAGTTGATTCTCTTCTTCCACCATGTAGGTCCCGGGAAGTGCACTCAGGTTATCCAGTTTGGTGACAAGCTCCTTAACCTGCCAAGCTGCTGAGCCAGTATCCTGTATGTTTTCTAGCCTGGCCTTGTGTTCTTGGTCCTCTGGCCTCAGTTTCCCAAGTGCTAGCTTGACAGGCGTGTACTGACATTCCTCTCTACCTCCCTAATTATTTGATTTAAAAAAACTTGTCCTTTTGATAAAATGATGTTGATGAAATACAATGTATTTTAGATCTTTTTCTAAATATTTTTATTCAACACATTTCTACCTGGCCAATTGCATTCCCTAAGATTTTGCTGATCTTAAATCGCCTCCGAGTCTGAGAACAACTGGTTGAGGGGTGGTCCTTGCAGATCCCAGAGATGAGCAGCGTTATTCAAATCCAGGCTATTTTCTTACTCGGCCAGGCTCTAGATCTTGGCTTCCTCTCCCACTGGGTCACCTAAACTCTCTTGATTGCCTTGGTGTCTGTCAGGGTTGGGTATGGATCTGCTCTTCTCTCCCTGTCTCCTTAATGGGGAACTGATAAACTATCTTACACTAAGGTAGGCACAAGGGAGGCCAGGCTCAAACAGTCTCCTCCTGGGGGTCTTTGGATTTTAGTGGTGTATAAAAGCTTAATCCAATGAATTGTGATGATGGAGTTTCAAGCCCTTCCACAAGGCAATGGGGAAAATATATTTGTTTCTAAACAAGGGGCTTTCTTCTGAAATAAAGTCACACCCTTCAAATAATCTACTAGAACAGAGGCAAGGGTAATAAAACGTGATTGTGTCTTCTGGACCAAAAGGTCACTGTGAGAATTCCTGACCTTTCTCTGCCCCTTTCCAATATAGGAGTCACCAGGCAAACCCATTCTCATCCCCTGGGCAACAACGTCACTCAGGGATCATTTTAGAGGACCGAACTGTGTTTAGGTCAGTTTTCTGAAGCATGTCCATTGCTCCTGATGAAAATGGATGGTCCCGCCCACCTCTGATTTCCTAGAGTAGCATGGTACTCAGTGCTACAGAAGACAAGGAATACACAGTTGGACACAGAGTGCTATGCTAAGTACCACCCAGCTCCAGTGGAACACCTCTGTATGGACTACCCGAGGGAAAATGCAGCTGCTTAAAGCTCACAAGGCTTTGAGAACTGTGCCTCAGACGGCAAGCCACAGAGGAAACTATTCGGTTCCCCGAGGATAGGAGTCTGGGCCCACAAGAAAGGACAGAAACTCTGGAGGAGCGCCCAGGAAGACAGGTGGACACCCACAAAATCTGTCTTGCTTCTGACACCCCCTTCTCTTAAACAAACCAACAATTTTCCATGCACATATATTAATAGCGTCATGTGGTGGTCCTTGCCTGCAATCCCAGCCTTCAGGAGGCTGAGGCTGGAAGATCTCAAGCTCCAGAACACTCTGAGTACATAGAATCATGACCTTGTCTCAAAAAAGAAAAAGAAAGAAAAACAACAACAAAAAATCTGTGGAGTATTTTTTCTTTTGATGGAAAAAATACAGATGGGATCTGGGACAAAGCCACCCATCTTTTGTTCCTTTGGACACTAAATGTAATAAATAGTTTCCTGCATCACAGAGGAGAATTTTAAGTGCTTTGTTTCTGTGGAAGTGGGACAGGGATCCTGGCAACATCTGTCAACCCTCCCAAGTGCTTCATCGTGACTGCAGCTGGCTAGGCAGGCAGCGTCTTTCCTGGAAGCCCATGGTTCGGAAAGTGAGGCCTCTCTGCACTGTCCCCCTCTGCACTGTCCCCCACCTGGAAATTCACTCACCAGGAGGCTTCTCAACACTATCCAGGACCCACTGAGACAGAACCCAGCGGCACTCCACCATCTACCTGCTTTGGTCTCCAGGTGCCTTTGGCCAAACTGAGATCTGAGAGCCTTCCAGCTGTGACTGGGGTACCAGGGCCCTTACACAGGCCCACAAACTCATAGGTGACCTACGAAACAAAAACGAGCATGGGAGACCCAGCTCTCTGCTGATATCCCCAGCGTGACCATGGCCAGGATAACGCACTCCGCTCAGCCTCACTCTTGCTCAACCTCACAAACCTGGCAAGACTTGGCCGATGGTAGTGGCAACTCCTCAGGGAAAGGGCTGCGTTCTGTAACTTCCAATCTATTAATAGTTCCCATCTACAAATCCACACCAATGCCAAAGGGGCAAACTTTCCAAGGTGGGTTAACTATCTCACAGCACTAGCTGCTGGCCCCAAGGGGTTTTCTCAGCAGCAAGACAGCCAAGCAAGCACTTCCCGGAACTACAGGGCACGCCCTGAGCTGCTCACCCTGTCCCTGAGGCCGCCTCACCTGGGACTGGCTACAGAACCCAGGTCTACTAAAACAGTCAGTCCCACCCTGCCTCCCCAAAGCCCAAGATGTATCCTGATTTTTAAAAAAGCTGTTGGCGCACTTCAAGGGCCTCAACCCCTTTCATATGGGGCTTGAGTACGATTGGACTGGCCTAATTAATTCGTTTTCTTCTCGGTCCAAGTGGAAGCTGGAGCTCGGGGATGCAAATCAAATACAAACCCGCTCTGGGCGCCAATACTCCGGACAATTAAAACAAAGAGCGCGGCGGCAGCGGCGGCGGCACCGCACAAAACCCTGGGGAAACATCCAGAACGTGTCGCCAATCAGGCGGCAGGGTGGGGCACAGCCTGGGCTCTAAATGTGCAAGCAGGAAAGCGGCCCCGAGCCCTTCAGGTGGACAGGTGGAGGTTGGCAGGGGTCAAAATCCATCCCTAAGGATTAGAAGCGAAGCGGCTGCGTGGCTTAACTCTAAGGAAGCACCCTCGGCCCCCGCCCTGCGGGAATGGCGCCCCGGTTACAAGTACCCCCTCCACCCCGCGCCCCCAAGCTCCTAAACAAACCTCACTGCCTAGTGCCCGGGCGCGAAGTGGGAATGAGCGGCGTGCAGCAGGGTGGGCACTGGCGGGAGATACAGGAGGGAGCGATGGAGAAGGAGGGGAGTTAGGGAGAAAGGACGTGGAGGAAAGGGAGAAAGTGGGGAGAAGAGGGGGTGAGGGAAGGGGAGGGGGGGAATCGCGGACTGCAAGGGCGCGGAAGGGGCGGAGGAGGAAGCAAGAGAAAGGGATGGGGGCGGCCGAGAGCCCCGCGGACCCGGCGGCGAACAGCGGCCTGGGGGGGCGGGACCACGCGGTCCCCACCTGCGTGGGCGCCCACGGCCCCTAGGGGTGGACGCCGGGGGCTGGGAGGGAGCGACCGGGGAGGCGGGCTGGGCAGGGAGGCCGAGGGAGGGAGGGGACGGGACTGCGAGCGGGGAGGAGCCGGCGCTCGGCTGGGGCTGCGGGGGCGGCGGCGGGAGCGGCGGTGGCGGCGGCGGCGGCGGCGGGTCCGGTGGCGGCGGCAGGTGGCCCCGCGCGCGGCGGGCCGCCGGCCGGGGGCGGGCGGGAAGGTGGCGCCTCGGGCGGGGGCCGGTCCCTGCACCAGGTGACCTGTTCCGGCCGGGATCCGGGCGGCCTCGCCATGCAGTGGCGCGGCGCGGGGCTTTGGTGGCCACAGCGGCGGCAGCAGCAGCAGCAGCCCCCGCCGCCCGCGCTCGGTCCCCGGGCCGCAGCCATGGTCCCCCCGAGCGGCGGTGTCCCCCCGGGCCTCGGCGGCCGCCCTGCAGGCGCGCTGCTCCTTCTCTGCTACCTGGTGAGCGCCGGACCCTACTCGGGTCCTTCCTTCTGCCCGGGCCCTGGGGACAGGCGGGTGGGGTGGCCGCGGACCCCAGTCTCAGGAGGTGGGGAAGACGACGCGAGTTTTCTCTCTTCCTTCCCATTGCGCCCCGGGCACTCCCAGCAGCTGGGATGAGTACCCGGGTGCGTGGACTGGACTTGCCAGCTACTCTCACTGGAGTCCATTCCTCTTCCTCACGGCCTCGCTGAAGACCAGGGCCAGGTTCCCCTAGAGTACCCTTCTTGTCCCCAGTGACACCGGACCCTCCCTACCATGCACTCGCCTGCAGCCCCTCGGAGCGCAGCTCCCCAGCCCTGTCCCCACCCATGCTTGGCTTTCCATTCACCTTCCTTAGCTCCTTTCCTTCTTGTCCCCAACTTCTTCTCCTTCTCCTCTGCCACCCACCCCGACCCTTCTTCGAGTTTTCACTGGTTCCTCCTGGCCCGGACGGTTCTGTGCCACCGCACCTCCCGTTTCCAGAGGCTCTTCAACTCCTTGGTCACTCCAGCCAAGTTGCGGATGCCAGAACGGAATCTACTTCTTTGTACCACGCTTACCGCCAGAGTGGTGACTTTAGCTGCGTCTTGAACGTTGTCATTTCAGAGCTGCATTTGGCTTATGCACGTCAGCTTGCAATTTGCACACTACTTGCCTTCTGTTAGACTTAAGAACTAGATGGCAGTAACCTATTTTAAATACCAGAGTAGTTGAGACCGTCCCCAGAGTATGGTGAGGAGGTATCGCCCAGTTCTTTGGATGACTTGCTTTCTCCCATTTGTTCCTGAGTTCTGAGCTATAGTAAATTTACCGAAGGCTACACCCTTGCTGCCCAGCCTACCTTATGTTCCAGGATCCTGAGGAAAGCTTGGGTTATCTCACCGTATATTACTGTAAATAAATGAAAAGGAAAATGCTGAATCATGAAACTGATGTAATAGGAAATTCACAGAATGCTTAAAAAACGAGCAATGTCCTTGTCCAGAACCCCTTTCATGTGGCACCGCCAGCACTTGGAATCTGGTCTTCTTGAGAGCTCAGCTGCTTGGGAGATGGTGACAGAAACTGGAATTTGGGTTTGAAGCAATTTGTCACCTCACCCAAGTTTGCTGTTGTTTTAAACACTCTTTACTTCTTGGCCGTTTCATTTCTTGAGTGAAGACAGTGCAAAAATGCAAATTATAACTGTGCCCCTCTCTACCTGTTGAACAATCCTTGCTTATACTTGTATTTTAGAATTTGCCAATGCCAATTTTTGTGGTTGGGTTTACTTCCTGTTTTTATAATAAGTTGCCAGGTAATGGGAATGATTTTCTTTTGCCCGAGGGATGTTATTATTTAATATTTATGCCATAGGGTTACAGTACACAGACTCATAAATAAAGCTGCCATGACAAATGACAGGGTTTTCATTTAAACAGATGATCCTGCACACAGGGCACTGCTGGTTAGCACAGAAGCAGGATTTATGTAGTTGAGCCTTTCATGAAATATTTCCATGCAGGTAATCTGGAAAGTTCCACGTGAGAATCTCAAGGCTTGGGAGGGGGGTACTTCTTGACAGCAGATGGAATCAGAGTAACAAGTGTAAAACCTAATGGCTAACGTGGCAGAGATAGAAGGCGGACCAAGTTCTACGCTCACGAAGGGGGGGTTGGAGGAACAGATCCAAGGTAGCAGTGGGTAGCAGTGTCAACAGGAATGACAGAGGGAAGTGATGAGGTGGAGCTGTAGTGTGGAGAGTGGAGCGTGAATGAACGACTTGGTAGTTGGTGGAGGAGTGGACATGAGAAATGATGGGGGACACCTGTCACTGTCCCTGGTTCCTTCTGGGGGGGGTGCTTCTGATATCCTGCTAACAGAGACTTGAATGAGCAAGAGAGCCAGGCATCACTGACTGAGAGGGGTAAGCTGAAGCTGGGTTCCAGAGGCAGCCGCCACGTTTTGTTCTGAGGGCCCAGCCGTGTGCTGATGATCGTGCCCTCCTGGGATGGTCTCCCTGAGATGTTTGTGAAAGGTGGAGCTTCTGGATCTAGCTAGATCTTAGAGAAACTTGGGGTGTGAACTGAGGAAAATGTAAACGTGTCTCTCCCTCTCCCTCCCTCCCTCTTCCCCCCTCTCATTCTCTCTCTCTCTCTCTCTCTCTCTCTCTCTCTCTCTCTCTCTCTCTCACACACACACACACACACACACACACACACACACACACACACACAGATATGAAGAGATCAGGAAACAATGAAGATGCGTTATTGTGTGAGTTCTCCTTGATCAAGGAGTGCTTCCTGGAGGAGCTGACTGGTTGGGAGCTAGAGGCAGGCAGGTGGAGCAGAGTGTCTAGACAGGAGCTAGTGGGGAAACCCATTCCAGAATTTAGAAGCCATAATAACAGCTTCCATTGTGCTAAGTCACGTGTGGTCGCTGTCTAGTGTTAATCTCAGTAATACCCTTTGTGAGATAGGAGCTGTCATGATCTCCACTCCAACGAGAGAGCGGTCTCAGAGAGGTTAAGCCAGCTGCTGCAGGCCACACAGACAACCTGAGATGAAGCTCAAGTCAGCCTCCTCTCCAGAGCCCTCACTTCGACCTATGCTCGCTCACTGGCTTCTGGAGTGTGCTCCTAATGGCCCATTCCCCTCTTGCATAAACGTATAGTCAGTCCATTAGCAGAGCTCCAGCAATTAGCAGCTACTGTGCAACTGTCCAGGATGTGAGGTCATGTCTCAAGTAACCTAAAATACACAAAGCAGGAAGGACAGGCCACAGAATAGAAGCAGGATGTTAAGGAGGAAAAAAAAAAAAAAAAAAAAAGTAAACCCAGAAACTATTTGCCATCGGTAAGGGTGAGGCAAAACCCGGGTGCAGCATCTGTGCTTTTATCATGGTGTCCTAAGCAGATGGTGACCAAGCAGTAGGGTGCACTATGATGCCAAATCGCTGACGACTTGGGGGTTCATTTCTATTTTATGCCAGCCTGCCCACAGGCTGGGATGCAGTGGCGTTCTGAACATGCCCTTTTGGGGAGCCTGTCCACTGGAGTCAGAGTTCTGAGGAAGGGCACCTCCCTTCTTCATCAGCTGGGACCAAGTAACCTGCAGTATCGGTCCCCAGGAGTACTGTGACTGTAGCTAGGATGCCTGCCCGAGCATGAATAATTGTGATGAGGTTTGAAAGAGAAGTCCGGAAGCCATGCCAGACTGATTTCTGAAAAGGTGATTCCTGGTTCCAGTGACTGCCCGAAAATCCTGGGGTCACCAAAGGTCAAGATGCTGAGAGCCTCCAGGGAGAGTGAGGGCCTTCAAAGCACAAGGTTGAATTGCTTCCTCGGAAGTCACTGCTACCGAGAAGGCACTCACCCTGCCCCACAGAGCCTCTTGCTGTGTTCTTACAGCATCAATGCTTCCCTTCCTTTCCTGGACTTGCTAGAACGGGTCCTAGTCCTGTCCTTGACATTGGGGCTTCTGGAAAGCAATTCTGTCTCTCTGAACTCTAGTCTCGAATGAATAATTTTTTTTTTTGTTAAGTGAGAAAATAAATCTCACTGTAGGCAATATTGATGTCAGCTGTATAGCTGAGTATTCAGAGTGGACATTTGAGCTTGTTAGACAACTAGGGACAAAGAAATAAGAGGACATTAGCAGCTCAGATATATGTAGAGATCGTTAGCAGACGGCGGCTATGATAGAGTCTTGTACCGGAACACCTGTGAGTGCGTACATCCCATCCATTATCCACCCAGGAGTATTCATTACCCTTTCACGTTGTGCGACACAGGATATAGGAAGTTTAAGGAAAAAATTATGCTAGGGACCCTCAGTTACTCGGCTTAGGGAACTGTGATTATGGATATGTGGAATTCAGAGGTAATTGTCAAATTTCATATTTACCAGTGACATCCCCGTTCATCCTGACCATCTCTCTTGACTCTCCCATGCTGTGGCCCCTGTCTTTTACCTCCTGTTTTCCCTGGCTGCCGAGAGTGCAGGAGCCATAGGAAATGTGGAAGAGAAGAAATAAAGGACCCAAGCAATTCTCTGAGATGATGGATAGGCTGGCGCAAACCATAAATAGCCCAAAGTGAATTCAGTTACTCTGTCTATTGGCTTGTCCTGTCCCTCTGAGGGAGGGACTGAAGGAAGAGGTTGAGGAATTGCTGACAAGGTTCTGCCTTGGCAGCTCCTGCCTCCTCTCTTACCTGGAGAATGGCTTACTCATGCTGGTGTGGACACCCAGGCCCATGCGTCGCTGTGTGACATACAATCTCTTCCCTCCAAGATTGACCAGGGGGAGACTTGGTCCTTCCCGCTTCTAAGATGAGATACTGAAGTCTCCAGTTCTCCTCAGCTTAAGTCAGCGTGGAGACAGGAAGTCAAGTGAGCTGAGGGTATCATTTGGGGGTGTTTCTGGAAGGCAAGAGACACGAGGCTAAAAGTGAGTGAGAAAAGAAAAAGAAGAAGAAAAAACAGAAAGATTGACGGCACCTGCCACAGTGGCCAGCACATAGTAGGCCCCAGTGAAAGAAAACCAACCCAACCTTATTTGTCCTTGTAGGGTCTGAGTTAGGATGAAAGAGCATGCTGACTAGTGTTGAGGGTTTCTTACACAAGGAGAAATATTGATCGTGGTTGGGATGGTGCATCTCTGGCCAGCTCTGGCTGGGAAGGGATGGTGCTTCACGGGACATGTCTCCCTGGGCACATCTTGACGGTGAAGGCCACGTTGACATCATTGTCCAGTCTGCATAATTGCATGCTTTGTGGATATCAAGAGAAGTTTTGCTTATGTAGTCAGCAGAAATTGAACAAAATGGGACTTTTAAGCCAATACAATTACTTCTTTGACCTATGGAAAGTTTGATCCAGCCAGTTTGGAAAGAAAATGTTCTGGAGCCAAGGTCTTCTTAGGTGATGGATGGAATGAGTGGGCAGGAACGAGAGAAACAGGCACTATTATTGTTTGCATATCTGATCTGCTCCCAC